GTCCAGAGGACTATACAATTTTTTTCCCTTTTGTCAGAGGCTGAACTACAACATAAAATGAACGGCTGGCAGGAAATTTGACATTTTAAACCTTAAAAAAAATCGATACAGGGCTTTAGAATATCGATACAGTATCGGGAAATGAAATATCGCGATATTTCAGTGTATCTATATTTTCTTACACCCCATTAGAGAGGAAAAGCGGTATTTGAATAAAAGCTCATGTTGGGGCTTGGCTAACTAACTTTCTAGTCTTGTTTTGAATGAGGCATTAAATTGACCCAAAATTATTGAAATGCTGCAAAATGAAACTCGTTAGACATGATGATGTAAGTTGTCCATACATGGGCTGCTTAAATCCTGCCATTATTGCTCCATTTCTTTTAAAGTTTTTATAAGCTCAAATGTGGAACTGTTTCTGTTAATCTCCTAATGTTGCATTCAATGATTAATGAGAAGCTAGAATTTTTGGTTTCTGGCTGAAGGAAAAAATGAGAGTAAATAATTATTTGCTAAATTCTTTGTAAAGTTAGGTGACATGTTAACTTGATGAGTCTGAAGTAAATATTAAAGTGAAAAGCAAATAAATAAAATTAAGCCTTTTATTTTCTAGGTTCATTAAAGGCAGCACGAGTTAAAGGTGAAGCTAACAGGAGACAGGATTTAGACTAATCTGTGCTGAAAGTGTTGCACACTCCTCCACACACCTACTATGTCTCTCTATCCTTGTGGGGACTTTCCATTGACTTCCATTCATTTTTTGGAAATTTCTATCCTAACCCTGACCATTGACCGGGCTTTGGTCTCCACGAGGCTGCATTTTCCTGAGAAATTGTCCCCACAAAGTAGTGAAAACAAGGGCACACACACACACAATCTTTAACGGCTCTCTGAACGACACATTTTCAGACCCCCGGGGTCGCACAGGGGGATTTTTTTTCCTCCTTTTGTATGCCTTTAAAAAGATATTATTTTTGTGTTGTGTTCTTTTAGGACATGGTTAACAGGAGGATCTCAATGGACATGATGCTGAAGGTGGCTGCTGGTCAGCGCTACCGACAGTTTATCTTCCTCACTCCACAAAACATGAGGTAACCACTCACAATTTTTCTACATGTGTCTGTGAATCAGATCGCTTAGATATGTTTTTTTTTTTTTTTTACTTGATTACCATGCTGAATTTGAATAAATAATAGGATGACTTGATGGAGCTGCTCAGGTTCTAATAAAAGCATTAAAAATATAAACCAATTTCCCCCCCAGTTCTCTTCCCGTGAGCAACATCCTCCGCATCCTCCGACTCAAAGATCCCGACCGCGGGCAAAACAACTCTCAAAGTCAAAATATGGATCAGTAACACAAGGCCGGAACAAAGGATGATTTCTCCTTCCAGCCAACCTGAGGTCCAACATTTAATTTGTTCAAATAAGTTACATACATGGACTTGCGACCTGTCCAGGGTGTACCCTGCCCCTCGCACTGTGACTGCTGGANCTGCCCCTCGCACTGTGACTGCTGGAAATGGGCACCAGTGACCCACGCGACCCTGAAAGGAAGAAGCGTGTACAGAAAATGGATGGATGGATGGAAGTTACATTTCTGTTGGTAAAACATTTTTTTTTTTTTTTTTTTTTGTACAGTTTCTGGTTGTTTAAAGAAGCTTGAAAGAAAATGTTCTTAAACAGATCTGTGTTTTTCTTTTCCCTCCTAGTTTTTTAATAACACCACCCGTTTTTCTTGTATCTGTTCGGGGACAGAGACTGAATGTCTTTTGTTAACAGTTGTAAAACACGAGGCACAGWTACTGTAAGATGTTCTGCTGATGTTTAGAAAATGACAACAAAAAGAGCTGTAATGTCAAACTGATTTGATTATTAAATTGTGACTTGAACGTGCCTTAGTTGTATATTTAGTTTTACCATAGTACCACTACATGATGGAGCATTAGGGCCACAAGGCTAGATTAAAAAAAAAWTTTTTTTAATTGTGTCAGATGAGGAAAAAAATGTGTAACTACAAGACAAAAGTTCAGTTTCTGGGTTGTCTCCCACCTGCTGTGGACAGCCTCCAGTGTGTCTCTGTTTCTAAAGTATTCAGCGATTACGTTTGGGTCACATATTCTTCCATCCACTAAATCTGTCAATGCAGCCATTAACTGCAATGCCACACAACTTCAGTTTATTACACAAATTCATAGAGTTTGCGCAATTGTTTCAAAGTCCTACTACTGATGATAGTTTGATGCTGGTGTGTTAAAAAATTAAGCATTTCTTTATTTGTAAAACTGATAAAGTACAACACCGTAAAATCTCGAAATAGGACTTKTTTCTTGTAATATTCAACATTATTCTCATATGATTACGTAATTCTACGATTTTATTCTCGTACAATTAAGACTAAACGTAATACAATTCTTCACGTAATATTTTGACTTTATTCTCACAGGAATAAGACTATTCATGTTACGTTATGACTTTAATCTCATTGCGTGGCCCTGATAATCTGTCGTACCACTAAGACTGCAAACACGTTTTAAAGCTGACTGAGAACCAGGAAAGAGGAATTGTTGCATCTTGTATTTCAGCTGCCGATACCAAAATTGTCATTTATTTTTATATTTTTAAACATTTCAGTGTGACATTTTGAAGTAAAGCGTTTAGCAAACTTTTTGACTGAAACTAACGGCGTCAAAAACAGCCTCAGAAAATAAGTTCTGCAGTGATTTTGTAATATTATAACAAATAAAATTAAACCCCAGATGGGTGAATTAATTCAATTCATTTATTTTATTTCATCAAAAACAAACAAAACATTTCACGCAACAAAAAAATGCAAATAAAATGAAAGGAAAGGAAAGGCAGCAAAAGAAAAAAATTCTTATCTGCCCATTTTTTAAATAAAATATTTCAAACGATAAACCAAATAAAACAAATTTAAATTCCTCAAACAGTAAGTGTAATAGAACTAATACTTTTATGTTTAAGCAAGTAATTCATGACATCCTTTAATGACCTAGGTTATCATGACATGCTGTTCATCTGCAGACAGAATGATTAAAGTCAGAACAAGATTTGCTAACAACAGTCATTCTTAGAAATCACTTTGTGTTTATCTTTGTGTTTTCCATTGACCTTGTATCACATCTTACTAAGATGGCATAATGGTGTTTGTTAATATATATATATGAGGCCTCTCGAGACACAGGGTTCAACAGTAGTGTTCAACAGCAGTGTGGAGAGACTGACAGAGAGAAGCAGAGGCACAGAGACAGGCCAGGTTCTCTGTGTTTCCTGTTGTTGCAATAAAACTCAGCTGATCATCTCACAGAGTACCTTCATTCTTGGACCACGTATTTCTGTCTTTGTTAAATAAATATTACCATAACAATACAGTTTGGTTTCACTTGTTAGTCTGGTGAAAAATAAACCCCACTCCGGAATTCTGGTGTTGTATGGCATTTATTTCTTACAGATCATTTTATTTAACATTTGTGTTTTAATCTGATTGTCAGTCGATATTAGAACACGTATTACTAACAGTTAAGTTATGACCTCTTATCGTTACCTCTTGGCTTCAGAGTAAACACACTCATTAATATGTTAATACCTTGCTGCTTTGAAG